GGCTGAGCCCTCGGGCCTGGCTGGATCCATGCTGCATCCAGCGGTTCCTGCAGCACCGCGTGGTGGCAGCAAAGGCCCATGGAAAAATCCCAAATGGCTGTGGGAGGAGGAGCTTTGGGGCCCTGGGAGACCTGGAACTCGTGACTGGGATGGGAGGCCGAGTCGCCCCAAAGTTGAGGGCTAAGACCACAAACAGCTGTGAGGTCTCTGCTCTAGCAGACTTCACTACCCACAGGCAGGTTTAAGGGATTACAAAGGGAAACATTTCCATCTGCCTTTAAACTCATTGCTTAAAATGAGTTTTTAGTTGGGTTTGGTCCCACAAGGAGCCGGAAGTGACCAGTTCCCAGCTGTCTCCAGGACAGGGAGAGGCCAATTTGTAAGGCAGCTGCCTGACATTAGGAATCCTAGTAAGAATCATAATCCATTAAGAATCTTAGTCCATTATGAACCCTGTTGCTAAGGTTTACCTTTAGGGAGCTTCCCTGTCCCCTCAGGATAGAGCAGCTGCTGCTCCAAGGGCAGGATGAGAAAACAGAATCATGGGCACAGCTTAGAGCTGCCTGGCTGTTCCCTGCTGTGCCAAGCTGCTCCTGTCCCACACAAAACCAAATCACTGGGACTCAGCAAGCTCAGGGACACCCCAAATCCAACTTTTTCCCTCAAGCAGTGAGTGCTGCAGAGCCAAGTGGGAATGAGGGAGCAGCAGCACCATGTAGGGTGTGCTGGTCAGGCACTGGGAGCACAGCAAAGCTCACCCAGGCAGCTAGAACAGGGAATTCTACACATTCCTGTACAATTCCTGCCCTCAGCCCCTCTCAGCCTGCCCTGGCCTCTGCTCTATCTGCAAACAGGTCTTGAGAGCAGCTGCAGTGTGTGTTAACACCTTCCAGGTGAAGAGAGTCGCTCCAGGTATTTCTTTCTGCCTGAGGAGTGGATGCTGCTGTGGCAGTGCTGGTCATCCCCATGGATCTGTGAGGGACTGAGGTGGGACACAGGGGTCCCTGACAGTCATCCCCACCCCAGAGCTCACCTGTTCCTGCTGCACTGCCAGCAGGGCTGGCCAGGAATGCAAACATTTCTGCAGAAATGGGTTTCCATCCGATGACTTTGAAATCAGACAATTTTAAGATGTCTCTCCCTAAAAAAAACTATTTAGGGAAAAAAATGGGTTCATTTTAGGCTCCTTTTTCATACCATGAAGCTGGTACTGCTGGTGCTGCTGCAGCTCACTGAGGCAGAGCTCAGAGGGGTCCCTGCAGCACATGTGGGAGTGGTGGAAGCTCCTTGTGCCTGTCAGGAAGAAGGTGCTGGAGCCAAAATCCAGAGCAGAACAAGGGCAGGGAGAGCTGAGCCAGCTGCTGGGGGTGGCTGGAGGGCATGGGGGGGTTATTTCACTTCATTTCCAGTGGCCCAGGAGGCTCAGCACAGTGAGCACCTGCTGATGTGTGCGTGGAGTTATCAAAGGAAAGAACTGCCAAAGGCCAAACACTTGATCCAGATTCAAATGTGTACTTAGAAGTGCAGCTTGACAAAAAAACCAGCCAAAAGCCTGACACAGACCAAAGGGGCGAGGAGGCCCTTGAAGAGAGCTGGCAGGAGGCTGAGAGCCGTAACATCAGTGCCTGCAGCTTCCCCCCAGCCTTCTGCAGGGAACAGAAAGAGCTGCCCAAGAGGACTTTGAAGATATCAAAGCTTTGTTACAGTCTGGAAACACCACCACACTTACAGGGAGGGACTTGGAGTAAGCTGCAATACATGATTTCTTCTCAATTAAAGGACTAGAAAGGGCAGAAGGAGGAGACCCAAAGCCTTTACCAAAGGGATAAACTCAGGAATCTCTGTACACTCAGGTGTGCAGGACCTTACTTGGACAGACAGCCAAGCTCTGACTTCACAGGGAGAATATTTCCTCGTGGAGGCGTCCCACCTCACAGGGATTATGGACAAGCAGGAGAGAGCAACTGTAAGAAGGGCTGCCTCAAAACAGCCTCCCTGCATGCCCCAGACCAGGGCTATCAGCTGAATTCCAGCTACGCAGGGAAAGAAAAGGGAATTCAGGAGGTTTTCCTACCCAGAAAATTCAAGACCTTTATCCTCCCAGGTGAGGAGAAGGTGTTGGTTCCCCTATGTCACACTATGACTCCCTTAACATTCCAGCAGCCTCACAGACAGACACTGCAGCCCTGGCAGGAGCCCCTAGCCCCTTTCCATGCACCCACCTCCCCCGTGATCCAGGGGGCAGCAAGGGCAGGACGGATGTGCTAGGGCTCAGAGAGCAGCTCCCAGCACACAGCTGCAGCATCCCAGGGAGCTCTTCCTGCTGCTGCCTCCGTCCCCCAGGCCTGGGCTCACGTTTGGGGCAGACACAGACACGACAGACAGACAGACATGCACACACTGCCGGGCAGATGCAGCACTGAGTCTCTGTACAAGGGCAGCACCGCATTAGGACCTGCAGCAGCCTGAGCCTCGAACCTCCTTCTGCACGTAGTCGTGGAGCTTGAATTTGGGCTCGTTGGGCAGCTTCATGGACCTGTGCTTCAGCTCCCTGTGGCAAGAGGAGGAACACACTGCTCTTCCTACGCTGCCTGCTGGCAGGGAGGGGAATTACTCTGGACAAGGGTCTGCAGTGACAGTACACAGGGAATGGTTTTTGCACTGCCAGAGGGCAGGGTGAGATGGGATATTGGGAAGGAATTCCTCCCTGTGAAGTGCTGAGGCACTGGCACAGGTTGCCCAGAGCAGCTGTGGCTGCTCCATCCCTGGAAGTGTTCCAGGCCAGGTTGGATGGGGCTTGGAGCAACCTGGGCTGGTGGAAGGTGTCCCTGCCCATGGCAGGGGGGTGCACTGAATGGGCTTTAAAGCCCCTTCCAACCCAAACCATTGCAGGGCTCTGATTCTAAACTACCTGGCACAACTTGACTTTGCCTGGACACTTTGCTCCTCCTGATGAGACATTTCCTATCTCATGTCAGAGGGCAGGTTCTTGCCAGCACAAGAGTTGAAGGTAGAAGGGAGCCCAGGGAATGAAGAGGTGGGTGACAGTGCCAGCCTCGATCCCAAAGACTGCTGTGTCCCAGCACAGTCACTTACTTTGCAATGGCTGTGAATGCTAATTCCACATTGAGGCCACTTTTTGCGCTGGTCTCCATGAAGGGCACTCCATACTCCTGTGGGATGAGACATAGTGGCATCAGGAATGTCACCTGGGGTGTTCCCAGGAGCTCCAGGCATCAGTGCCTGCTGTGGGAGCACATACCCTGCCCTGGGAATGGAGCTGTGCTGTGGGCAGGGAGAGCTGAGCCAGGGCTCACAGCTCAGGTAACTTTGGGAACAATTTTTGAGGACAAAGAAATAAGAAATCACAGTGGAAGCACAGGTGACACTGGCTGAGCTGCAGCAGGTGGCACCTCACCCACCTTGGCAAGTTTCTCCCCATCTTCCCTCTTCACCACTCTGTCCTGGGCTGAATCCACCTGCAACAGGAACAGCAGAAAGCAATCTGGGGTGATTTAGAAGGTCACCATAGGTAACCCCCATGTCCCCTTATCCCTGCCAGGCTCCCCTGCCCACAGCTCCATGGGAGGATGAGGAGGCTCTGGCAAAGACTGGGGCCAGGCTCACCTTGTTCCCCAGTAACATGAGGACCACGTCCTGCTGTGCATATTCATGAATCTCTGTCAGCCAGGCCTGGAGCGACACAGAGAGGGGTTAGCAACAGCTCCTGTAGGGATTTATCCCCAATTTCCCCTCGGCTGGGACATTCAGACTAGACCTCTAGGAGGACAAGGCTGAGGGTTTGCCCCAGGACATGCCCCATGCCCATGTCCTGCACGTGCTGCTCCTGTGCTGAACACACTCAGCCCAGCAGGCACCTGAACCTGCTTCCCTGAGCCGTGGGGTGGCTTCCCTGCCCTCTAATCCAGCCCAATCTAACCAAGCCTGCCCTAATTCCTGTTATCCCTGACCCCACGGTGTGAGCAGCCACTGCTCCAAGCCCAGCAGCATCCTGCATCAGCACCCAGCTGGTTAGGGAAGTGAGGGATGATTTGGGATTAGAGCCTGGCACTGATGACACATGGGAGCCCAAGACATGTGGGCACAGCCCCAGGACCCTATTGCACCCCAGCTGGGATCAGGGTGCTCAGCTCCATGGATGGGTTGGTCCAAGGGATACACAGTCACTCCTGACAACCACCCTCAGCTCCTTTCTGTCTCCACTCCCGCTCCATCCATCTTCCCAGCACCTGGGTGCTCACTCCTCCCTGCTGGGGCTGTGTGTGCCCCACGGATGTCTCTCTGATGTCCCTGTGTCCCCAGGATTCCTAACGCTGCAGACAGGGTCACATCATCCAGTGGTGTGAGACCTCCAAGGGATTTTCTGTCTCATGCAGGGTCGCCACTCCCATGCAGCTGGTTAGCACCCAGCACTCACCCCTCCTCAAGCCATCCAGCTCCTCAGGCTGGAAAATACCACTGCTGGCCAGTCCCAGCCAGCAGGAAGCATTGCCAGTGCCATGGGAGCAGGGAGGCAGGATGCAGCTCCTGTCCCCCACCATGGGACTGCAGGCACAGAGCAGTGGCAGACACAGCTGCTGGTCGAAGGATGCTCTGGAGCAGGGACAGCAGGCACCCAGGGGGTCAAGGAATGCAGGACCCCCCCAGGAGCTGGTGTCACAGATGATTGCTCCCCTCTCCCCGTCCCAGGATGCCACCATGGCACAGGGTGTTTGTGCAGGCACAGCTGCTCACCATGGATGCACACGGTGTTCTCTGTGTCCGGGACAACTGCAATCACACCCTGTTCAGTCAGGGCTAATTGCTCCCTGGGCTGGGACACACTGTCAGCGCTGGCACAGGTGGCCTCCAGCAGCCACAAGGGCCTGGCAGGGTGAAAGTAGGGGACACTGAGTCTCTGGATCCTCCTGATCCCCTCACAGTGATGTGCCCACAGGTAGCATTTGCTTTCCCCCTCAGCCAGATTTAAGAGCTCTCTGCTCCAACACTGCTCCCCCAGGAGCCCCAGAGGGACTCAGGATCAGCTGGAAGGGTTGGAAGCAAACATAGGCAGCATATGGGACCCCCACAAAACCCATCAGACAAGAAGGGCAGGTGGGCTGGGGACATGCAGTGGGATGTGACCCTTTCCCCTGCCAGGTGTGGCACTAAGAGGGGGTGCCCAATCCCAACCCTTTGGGACCCAAAGGAGCAGAGGAGGATGAGGAACAGCTCACTTGGCAAAGCTGCCTGTGCTCAGCTACTGCAGCAAATTCTGTGCTGGTACTGTAATTACACAGAGAGTTAATTGGCTGGAGCAGAGAATCCATCACTCCTTTTATTTGCAGTGAAAGGGAAAACCTTCCCTGCCTGTTCTTGCAGGTGCTCAGCATTAACCACAGCCCTTCTGAAAGTGCCCACAGCTCACACCTCCATCACACACCTTCTCCACGTACCCCCTCCCCTGGCCTGACCCACAACCAGCCCAGCACACACAGGGGACAGCAGGAGAGGCCTGGGGGTGCTGCTGTACCTGGATGTTGTCAAAGGATGCTTTGTTGGTGACATCGTAGAGCAGGAGCAGTGCTGTGGAGAGAGGATGTGGTGTTAGTGCCAGTGCCAAGCAGAGTCCATGGCACAGAGCATGCTCTGCACCACCCACCACGTGGGTCACACCTGGGGACGTGAGGTCCTGCTGTGAAATATAAACCAACGTGCTGAATCCTCCACAGCAACACCTCAGACTGGTGCTGTTTGCACCTCAACATGCAGAGCCTCCCATGGGTAAACTGGTGATTCCCAACTCCCCTGGCCTGGAGTGGCAGCACAGGACCCCGGAGAGCCAGAGGGAGCTGCCCCTGAAGCAGAGGTGTCCGTGCTTACCATGGGCATCCCTGTAGTAAGCATGGGTGACGCTGCGGAATCGCTCCTGCCCAGCTGTGTCCCAGATCTGGAAGGCAGAAACAGAGAAGCCACACATGACCAGGACACACCAAATCCAACACCAAAACTATCCCAAATGCCACAGTTCAACCCCAGGAAGATTCTCCAGCTGTTGCTTCCTGGGACATCAGTAGAAAAAATGACAAGAGCAATAAATATCGGAGCAGGCCCTCCTCACTCCTCAGCATGGGGACACGGCAGTGCGTGCCCAAGGACTCCTGACATGGCTCTTAATTGGAAAATCCGTGGAGCAGATGGATGTGTGGAGACCTGCTAATGTGATTTATCAGTCTCTAATGCAGCAGGTTTGCAGAGTGCCACACTGCAGCCACGGAGGATCTGTGCTAACGGTGTTACTGAGCCCTGGGCAAAGGGCTTAGGGAAATGGGTCTTGGGGGGCTGGAGCAGCTCTGGCTGCAGGGCAAGCACGGAATCTGGAGGTCCCTGGATGTATGCTGAGCCAGGGGACATGGATCCCTTCAAGGACCTCTGTCCCTCTCACCATGCTCTGGCTCTCCCAAAGTAGGAGCTGCCTGGAAACGCTGAGCAAACCCCATAGATGCTGCTCTGGTTTCACTGGCTCCAGCTGCAGTCAGGGAGCAGCAGGGCTGGAACTGGGATGGGCATGGCCAGAACAGGCCCCAGCCCTGAGCAGGCTCCCACCGAGGGGACAGAGCAGCCAAAATAGCCTGTAAGGCTCTCCAAAAGCAAGAGATGCGGCTGCAAAGGACGGAGATGGGAGACGCATTTCTGGGGTGTTCCTCTGCCGAAGGGTTTTCTCCAGCCACAAACAGCCAGGGAGGAGAGTCAGGGGCTACAGGGACATACCTGCAGCTTCACCTTCACCCCATCCACCGTCAGCACCTTGTTCTGAAAGAGAGGAGAAGGGCAGTGAGGGGTGAGTGCAGCTGCAGGACACTCAGTTCCTCCCAAGCCCTCGGGCTGATCCCCTCTGCTGCTTTCTAAATTCGCATCCACCAGTCCCAGCACCTTTGGAGCTGTTTGCACCATGGTGCAGGCAGAGGATCCCTCCCTGCATGGCACAAGCTGCATCAGTTTGGGTACCGAAGGCCCAGTGTCTGCAGAGCTGATGCAGTGCCACACATGGCTCAGGCTGGAGACCTCTGGCCAGAGCGCCAGCATCCCACCTTAACGGCCTTCCAAACACACGGCCAACCACTCCACATCCAGTCAGCAAATTAAAAATAACTCCTCCTCCTGCCTCTTGTACCCATTTTGCTCCTGGTTTCTCTCTCAGTTTTTTCACCCCCTGTTTTGCTTGGTTATAGCAGGAAAGATGGAAAGGAGAAGAAGGGGCAGTTCCCCTCCACACTGGGTTTTCCACAAAGCCAACAGGATACCCTGTATGGAAGAGCAGCGAGCAGTGTGAGGAGCCCATCAGTGTCTGGGCAGCTGTGTCAGCCAGTAAGGGCAGGGGACAGACCCTGACCATGTCCCAGAGTGAGCCACCCTAGGCTGTCCAAACACAAACACAATCCTACACGCCAGCAATCCCAGGGGAAGGTGCAGAGAAGAGATTAATTTGCCTGCCAGATCCATAAAAATTCGCACAGTAATCAGTGGGACGTGCTGGAAACGCAGCCAGGGAGCAGCACCAGTGGGATGAGGCAGAGCTGATCACTGCTCTGGTGATGATTCAAATTCCATTTGCTCCAGAGCTGGCATGGGATGCTCCCCTATTCCTGGTCACATAGGATGGTCAAGGCTGCCCTGATCCCAGCAGGGCTCTGCTGCCTCAGCCCCAGCTCACCCACCCACCCTGGCACCAAATCTGCCACTAGCTCTGGTGCCACCAACCCCATGCCAAGATCCACCCCGGCACATCCCACACCACTCCGCACCATGGCCCAGGCACCTCGGGATGCTGCTGGGGCCATCACCCCAGCAGGACAGTGCTGGCAAGGCTCTTCAGGGATGGTTTTCATGAGAGCAAAGGGAGCATCTCTGTCCCTGCACACCCAGGAGAGGACAGGGGCGCGGAGGAGCGGGCAGAGCGAGCTCAGGCAGGGGAGACGGGAGAGGTTTATAAATACCTTCAAAGGAGCGACCGAGACGGGGGAGAGGAGTGATTCACAGCCTAGGAGTGGTAAAAATAGGCAGCTAGGCTGTGGGGTGGGGTGGGGGAGCTGAGAAGCACCCGGGGAGTAGCCAGAGGACTTGGGGAGCTAAGAAGTGTGTGCGGAGCCGGACAGGGCCCTGGGGCTGGCTCACCTCACAGGGAGCTGAGCCTTTCCCAGAATGTGAGCTGGGGCTGCTCCAGGCCTGAAGTGCCTAAAGCCCAGGGTCCCACTGCCACCAGCCCTTGGTGCCTCTGCACATAGCTCCCAGGTGAGCACAGATCAGAGCCACCCCCAGCGAACCATGTGCCCCTGAGCATATCCGAGTGGACAAGTTGCATCTTCACCCTCATTCAGAGGATGAAGAACAGCTCTGCCTGGCATCTGTTCCACAGGGGAGACAGGGTAGGTTTATGTTCTGCAGAAGAGTCACTCTCTGAGCTCACCTTGCCATGCCAGAGGCTGCAGAGAGACATAGAATCATAGAATTTTAGGGGTTGGAATG